TTTACATATTAATATATATATTCTTTCTGGTTGACTTGAGAGGATGCTGCCATATAGCTTGAGATGGCATGAAATTCATGATCTTCCAGCCTCTGCTATTTGAAAGCTGATCCCAAATGCCCACCAGGTCCACTGCCCTAGTTGACTTTGTCACCTTGACATGGCCTAGAGTCACCTGAGAAGAAACTCTCAATTGAGGGACTGCACAGAGCACACTGGCTAGCAGGCATGTCCATGGATGACTGTCTTGACTGTGAACTGATGCAGGAGGGTCAAGTCCACTGTGGGCAGCATCCTCCCTAGGCAGGTGACCCTGGTCTGCATGAGAAAGCCAGCCAAGCATGACCCTGCGGGGGCGGCAGCACAGAGCAACCCTCCAGAGTTTCTGCTTCAAGTTCTTACTTGAGTTCCTCCCCTGGCTTTCCTCCATGATGAACTATGACCTGGAAGAAACCTCACCCCACTCTATGCTGCTTTTGGTCAGTGTGTTTTATCACAGTTGCAGACAGGAAACTAGAACCCCACTGTGACCAGCTATTAGCATTTCGTGGTTTTGGTGTCAATGTGGGAGGTATTTTGATTTTGATGTCTGATCTTGTGCAGCTACCAGATGAAACTGTTTTGTGTGGCAACCTTGTAGCCTTTTGCCTCATTGGGCTTCCTGGTTTTGTAAAGGCTCTCATAAGTTCATGGGATCTCTATGCAGGCGGTTATATCATCCGCCAGCAAGCTCGGTTCTACTTCCTTTGCCGTCTGAATCCTCATTCTCTCACTTATTTTGCTGACTGGAATCCCCAATGCAGTTCTGGAGAGAAGTGATGAGGAGTCTCTTCTCCTTGTCCCTTGCCTTAGTGTGTGGTATTTAATGTCTTCCACCATTCAGAAGTTCTTCTAGATTGCCTTTTTAGAAGGCAAAGCACTCTTTTCTGGTCTTAGGTTGTTGAGCGTTTGTATTATATATATATAAGGACACTGAGTTTTCTTAAATTTCTTTTTATGTATGAAAATGATCATATGACCTTGCTTTTGTCTCTTAACAATGATTTTCAGATGATACCCCAACCTTGCTTTCCTAGGATTATTAACTACACTCATGGATTATTATATGCAGATAGATAGATAGATAGATAGATAGATAGATAGATAGAAGATATGATGGATAGACAATAGGTAGATAGATAATAACAGGTTTTTATTTGCTGTGATATTTTAAATGCCTACTCTTATTTTCACGAGAGATACTAGTTTATGGTTGTCTTACACCATCTTTGACTGATTTAAGCATCACTGATATAATCACTGATATAGCATAAAACTGAAAAGCAGTCCCTTCTCCATCTTCTATTTTCTCGATTTTAAATTGTCTCAGGTGTTTGGTGCAGTTCCCCACCAAAGCTATCTGGATGTGGCGTTTTCTTGGCAAGAGGTTACTAGCTATGAATTCACGTTCTTTCCTAAACAGAGGTCGATTGTTTCTCTCTCTAAGCAAGCTTTCACAGAGGTGTCTCACTTTTAGCCAAGTTGTCTAATCTGTTGGCATGAGGTTGACCCTTATTTTTCTTTTACTGACTGTGGATTCGGTTATATTTCCTCTGTCACACATGATATTGGGGTGTGTCCCACCCCCATCAGTTTCGCTTCTGATCTCATTGACCCTCTCTCATTCATGATATTAGAATTTGCCTGGCCCCATAAGTTGTTTGTGATTTCATTGACCTCTATTTTTTTGTTTTTTGGGCTTTTTTTTTTTTGGTCTTCTCTCTATTATTTTTTGCTTTCCTTTCTTTCTTGCATTGAATTTTATTTGCTTATCTTTTTTAATTTCCTTAAATTTTAATTATTTAATACATTGAATTAAATGTATGCTATTGGTTTGAATGTTATTTTCAAAAGTAGGCTTTCAAATGTCCTCCTATATACTATCTTTACTATTATTTCACTAAGCCCCGATCTCACTGGGTAGCCCTGGCTGGCCAGAATCTCTCCAGACCTTAAACTCACAAGATCCATGTGCCTCTGCCTCCCAGCTTAATCAAAGGTGTTTGGAAAATTTACTTTGCACAACTCTAGGAAAGTCAATAGAAGCATCAGGTTCCCCAGGCCTGTTACTGTGTATCTGATTCACCTTGCTCTCCCTGGTTCAGATTACTGAAGAGGGAGTTAAACTCTCTACATGGGATGACTCTTTGCCTGAATGTATGCTTTGTGTGCTGTGTGTGTGCCACGCCCACAGAGGCTAGAAAGGGGCATTGGATCTCCTGAGACTGGAGTTTCAGATGGATGTGAGCCACCACGCATGTGCTGGAAATTTACCCTGGGTCCTCTGCAAGAGGAGCCAGTGCTCTTAAGCACTGAGCCATCTCTCTAGACCCAATGAAATGCCATTCTTAAACTTCAGTGATCTTTTTTGGTTTGTAGTCTACCTTTTCTGCTATTAAAAATAGCTACTTTAAAATGCTGAGAACAGGAAGAATAGCCCTCCCTAGGGAAGATTCCCCAAGTGCTTATTCAATACCAAGTGGCTGGCCCTGAAGTCATATATATACAGTAATTTTATATAGACTGAGCAGGTTATATTTACATATTTAGAACTCTCCCCCATGTATATGAGCATGAGCATGAGTGTGTGTGTGTAAAACAAGAATTAAAGAAAAAGAGATCATGAATTTACATTTGAGAGAGAGCGTGGAAGTGGATACATGAGATTGGAGTAAGAAAGAGAAGAAAAAATTATATAAGTACATTTTAACTTCAAAAATTAAAAAAATAAAAGGAGGGGCTGGAGAGATGGCTCAGAGGTTAAGAGCATTGCCTACTCTTCCAAAGGACCTGAGTTCAATTCCCAGCAACCACATGGTGGCTCACAACCATCTGTAATGGTGTCTGGTGCCCTCTTCTGGCCTGCAGGCATACAGACAGAACATTGTATACTAAATAAATAAATAAATAAATAAATAAATAAATAAATATAAAAGGAAATCATTTAAAATAGCTCCTTTGGCATCAGCACGGTTCTCTTTGGACTAGTGTTAGCATTTCACATCTCCTGAGCTCTGTTGCTGCTATGGAACAGCACAAACAGACGACACATTTAAAGACTGGAGAGATGGCTCAGCAGTGAAGAGTGCTGACTGCTCTTGCAGAGAAATCTCACTCGGTCCCCAGAACCCACACGGTGGCTCATAATTGTCTTTAATTTCAGCCCCAGAGGACCCAATGTCCTCTTCTCACTTTCAAGGGCACCTGGCATAAATGTAATACACAGACAAGCATGCAGATACTCACACGTACACATGAAATTTAAATTAACTCTTTGAAAATGCATGTATTACTCACAGTTTCTGGAGGTCAGGAGTCTGGCCATTATTTTGTCAGTTTTTCTTTTCCCAGACCTCTCAAAAGCCTGCACTGTAGAGAACATGAAGGTCTATGGTCTCATCTGAATGGCCAACTAGAGAAAACCTATGGACAACCCATGCAGTGGTTACTAGCAGAATCCAATGTCTTAAGAACTGTTGAGTTGGGAGGTCTCCATCACTCACTGGCTGTTGATGAATTTAGTTCCTTGACGCCTCAGTCCATTCCAGCTGCTATAACAAAATCTCTTAGGTCAGGTAGTTGACAAATCACTCCTATTTATTTCCCCCATTTCTGAGGTCGAGAGGTCCAAGATCCAGCTCCAATGAGGGCTCCATCTACTTCCAGCACTGAACTTTCCTGTTGTATAGTCATGTGGCATACGAGGGAGAAGAAATGGAAGCAATGAACTCACTTCCCTCGAGGCCTTTTCTAAGCGCCACTTCTACCTGTGAAGTCAGAGACCTTAAGACCTAATCGCTTCCTACCGTCCATCCATTTCTCTTCGTACTTTTCCACTGAGCATTGAATTTCAAGGTGAATCTTGGAGACACACAAAGACCTTTGCTACGTAGACCTTTCTAGAGTGGCAGCTTGCTTCATCCAAGTATGCAAGTTGAGAAGACAAGAGTTTTCTAGCAAGGGAAAAGTCACAATTTACTTAACCTGCTGTAGAAAAAAAAATTCTTGTATCTTTTTCCATGAAGTATCTGTTAGAAGCAAGTCAAAAGTCTCATCCATGGTCAGGAGATAGAATAAAGGAAATATTGAAATAGGTGTTGACTATCTGTTGAACCAGCCTTTCAAACTTTAACTGTTTGTTGATTTCTTTGTTGTTTGTTTGTTTGTAGACAGTCTCACATATCCCGGCTAGCCTCAGATTCCTTATGTAGCCAAGAATAACTCTGAGCTTCTGATTCTTTTGCCACCACCTCCCAACTGCAGAGATAATATGCCTATGCCACCATGCCCAGCTTATGAGATAATATACATATGCCAGCATGCCCAGTATAGGACGTTTTTTGTTTTTGAGACAGGGTCTCTCTACATTGTCCTCGCAGTCCTGGAACTCACTATATAGACCAGGCTACCCTTAAACTCAGAGATCCGCCTGCCTCTGCCTCCTGAATGCTGGGATTAAAGGCTCATGACCATTTATCCCTTCTTGTTCTCTGTGCTATTGGAATCCTACACTTTACTTACATATTTAAGTCCCACAATGCATTGCTGTTGCTTTTTAACAGTTAATTATCTAATTAAATATGTTGAAATAATGCAACGCAAGATTTTGCTTTTATTTATGTAGGTACTCTGTCTTTTTCATTGCTCTGTGGATATCCAGGATTTCCTAAGTTCTCATTTTGCTTCTCCTCCAAGGACTTCCTTCAGCGGTTCTTGCGCTGAGACTTGGCAGCTGGTGAGCGCTCTCAGTGTTTGCTGTTTGAACATAGTTATTTGAGTGTTTGAAAGGCATCTATGCCGGTAAGGAATTCTGGGCCAACAACTTGGACTTTCTTCTTTCACATTTTTTCCCATCTTCTGTCTTCTTCCTTATCTTCCTCTTCTGCTTCTCCCCCTCCTTCTACCTGCACATTAGACACAGACCCACTGTCCTTTTTTTTTAAATGAGCCAAATTTTGTATTTATTCATTTCTTGCGTTGAAGTAGTCTTTGCTGACAACCTTGACCTGAGATTCTTTGCCATAATCCTTAACCACTACACAACTGCAACCAACCACTATCCATGGCTTCCCGTCTTGATCAGTTCCACAGAGGCCTGTCCATCCCCCTAGTCTCCTGTTGTCACCAACCTGAATTACGTGGATTTGGTGCTCAGCACAATGTGCCTTCAGAAACTCAACATACATAGGCTCATCACAGCTGGGTGCAAGCACACAAAGATGGTCGTGGCACTCATCTAAGGTTTTGGCAGCTTTGGGTAGGCCACGTGCTAAACCATCGTGGGTTAGGGCAGTCTTCAGCACCTCTTGTAGAGCAGTACTAACATCCATTACACCTCCAGCAGCAATGGCTTCCTCGGCCATGGCGGTGGATTACAGGTGAGGCCGCAACTTGAACGCCCCAGAGCCTCCGCCTTTGCGTGACTGGGAGGTGGCCGAGGAGAAAGCGATCCTCTGTCTCATAACCTGCATTCCTTCGGTAAGAAATCTGCCATCCTCCCTGTCCAGATTCAGGAATTTCTATCTATTTCTCAATTTAAGCAATTGCTAATACGTACTTACCAAGTTTATAAATGTGTTGACAACCGTGACTTTGTATGTTTCAGTAGACCTTCCATGGTAATGACAGACATCTTACGTAAACAACTTAGGGGATTCATTTGGGCTTCTGGTGTCAAAAGCTTCTGGTCCACAGTGACCTGACTCCACTGCTTTGGGTCTGGGGTGAGACAAAACCCCATGGCCACAGGAGCATGGTGGAGAAAGCCATTCACTTCACTGGTCGCAGGGTTGCTTCCTCTGTGTTCCTCTCTTGGATCCATTCACCCACTCTCCCGTTTTAAGTCCACGCTTACTAAGTGGTTCCACCCACGTGCACAGCAGGTGTTCCCATCAGTTGTAAAATTGCTGTATTTATTTTCTAGAGATTGAAACACTATTTCCATTTCACCTGGGGTTTTATCGTTTCTCCCCTTCCTCTATACATTTGTAGGTCATCTACGACTTTTCATTTGCTGAACTGTCCTTCAACAAGAACAAAATTCCAAAGTATAGCATGTTCCAGTAGAAAATATAATCTGTCTGATGATATTCCATGTGTAGTATTTACCCTACCCCTTACCTTTAAGGACACACACGTATTATTTACTTGTGTCTTATTCAGAATTAAAGTTAGAGAACTCAAATGCAGCAGAGTACCCTAACACAGAACACGGATATGAAGTGGGAGAGCCAAATTCAATCACCACTTTTACTACTGTTAGTTCATCAAATCATACCAATATTAGTTCCCTAATGTGACATACGCCCCATGATAACCCAAGATCTTAACTTGAGGGAGAGCTAGCTAAAGGGGATTTGTAAGCTCTCTGCCCTGCCTTGACAACACTCCTGTGAATCTGAAATGAGGGTTAAATTAAAAGGTGGTTTCTTTTATAATGTTTTACTAAGAATTGAGAATGCAGGACCTACTCAGAGCAGAAAATACTGCGATCCCTGAGAGCAGTCCTTATGATAAGCCAAAAGTTAGCATTTAGATCAAGGCCCTGAGATCTGGTACCAGCCAGTAGCGTTTGCATCAGACAGAGACCAGCTTCCTGCTTCCCGCTAGCTTTTAAGCACCACACAGTTCAAGGGCATGGTTTCATTTGTGCTCTGACTACATCTCAGTACAGAATGATGTTAGTTCAAATCTCCTTTCCTCTGCCTTCCTCTTGCTTCGTTTGAGTCATTTTCTCTTCTGTCTCTCTCTGTGGGAACTTTCCCTTTGACCACATACTTTGGGAGTCTTGTATCATGTACATCATTGGCCTGGGATGTGGGGGAGGCAGTTTAAGTTAAATGATGACTGAACCAGAATTCCAGGCAGAACGATTAGAACCCTTCCCCCCCCCCCTCCGGTGTCAATGATCGAGCTGAAAACACCGGCGGACTCCATTGCGATCTCTACAATAACGTAGGCCGCTACCTTGGAGGATAAAAAGTCAATAGATGTCAGAAAGGACTTGAGAGTGCGGCCAGACTTTTCTGCTCCAAAAAGTCCTCTTCAAGACGAGACTCTAAGGAGGTCTGGCTTCAGGGACTATAAACATTATCACTTTGACAACAAAGAGCTACTTTCTCCAGGATCTTTTATACATAGTCAATTTTAGGTCATCCTTAATTTTTTTTTTTTTTACCTCACAGTAGCGAGAAGGTCGCTGACCCACATACAGAGCCATTTCATCCCCTTGCTCTTCTAACAATGGTCTCCATACCAAGGGACCCAGCTCTGCCCCCATCCCCTTTCAGGCAGCAATTCTCCATGGGCACAGGACTTGAAAACCTTTGAGTCTCTGAGTTCTTGGGATTTAAAAAAAAAAAAAAACTTATCTGTGCTTCTTTCCAACCAGCAAGCTTCAGAATTCGGAATTTCAGCACACGAAAAGGGATATGAGACCTTTAATCTAGAGGTCGTTTGAAGAGACTTTTTTTTTTCCAAAAAAGAAAAATCCCAGGAAAGTTCCTCTGTTCCCCGCCTTGCAGGCTGCATGCCAGCCTCGCCCTGTTTGTTACCGAGTCCCCCTTGACCCTAGCCACTCTTTTCTTTTTACCCTTAGCGATTAAAACCACAGCCGACTTCGACAGTCCTGATTCTTGCTCTTGGCTCTACCTGTCTTTATCCCCGCAAAGTCACTTTCTCCGCGACATATATTAATAAGAAGCACGCTGGCTCACTTTTCTGTTCCCAGGTGTGTCAGTTCAGCTAAGCGAAAGATAATTCATAAGTCAGATTCGGACCCGTGAATGCAGCTGATTGGGAGGGGCAGCCATCACTGAAGGGAATCATTAAGCAATTCTACTCCAGTTCAAGCCTGGCAGGTGGGACTATCTAAGCGGAGGGAAACTGCAGGCGGCCTTCTTCGGTATCCACGCAGGGTTGGTGCCAGGATATCCATGGGTACCCAGAATGCGAGGATATAGGAAACAGTCTCAAATTTTAACAGAAGTCACACACAACCTCCAGCGTATTTTAAAGCACCCCCAGATCCTCAGAATGCCAAACACAAAGTAAGTGCTGTGTAAACCCTCAGCATGCTGCATTGTTTAGTGATGATGGGGGGGGGGGGTCTGCGCATGCTCAGAACAGATGTAATTTTTGTTCAAATATTTGCAATCCACAATTGCTTCAATCTGTGGCTGTGGGACCTACACGTAGGGAAAAGCCTCTGCACTCTTTCTCTGAAGTAAAATAACAAAGAAGCAAAGCTGCTCTGTCCAGGATTTCAGCAGGACGATGGTTCAGACTCCCAACTCCAACACCAACAGCTCCCCTCCAGCCGCAGAAGCCTGGTCCACAGATTGTGAGCCCGATATACAATCCAGTCAGCAGCCCGCTCCAGCGCCCAGTAAGTAAACAGTAAGAAAGTCTCAGTTAACATAAATTTAAGGCGTCTTGGGGAATATTCAAAAAAGCAGGCTTAGGTTGCCCCACTTGGCTTGCTGTTCAGAGAACTCTGTCCTTCCCCAGTACTCTCAAGCGTTTTATTTCCTAGATGCTTCTTGACCCTGAAAGACATGACCACGCCTCATCTGAAGATTAGGAAACTGAAGCGCAGGGTGGGCTGATGCTGTGCCAAGGTGGTGACAAATCCTCTCCAGTCCTGCCTGTGTCTCCACGGTTACAATACAATCATGTTCCACCACAGGCTCTGCCCCCTTGAGGGCATCACTGGCTGATGTCCTCAGCTTTCTGCTTCTCCCTGTATTCCTTTGTTTTCTGTGGCTGTGATAAAATGCTGACCAAAATCAACTTGAAAAGGAGTGGGTTTCCTTGGCTTAAAGGTCACAGTCTGTCGTTGAAGGAAGTCAGGGTGGGAACTGAGGCAGAGACCACGGAGAAACCCTGCTTACTGGCTTTCTCTCAGAGCTTGGTTACCCTTCTTTCTTATACTACCCAGGACCCAGGTAGTCTGGGCCCTCCCACATCAATCATTAAATAAGAAAATGTCCCCATATATTGTGTGATGTTTTATCCTTTGGACTCTTTTGGGGTCCCAAATAAATCACACACAGAGGCTTACTCTTAATTATAAATGCCCGACCTTAGATGGGCATGTTTCTTGCCAGCTTTTCTTGTCTTAAATTATCTTGACTACTTTTTGCCTCTGGGCTTTTAACTTTCTTAATTCTGTATGTCTTACTTTCCTTCTTACTCCGTGGCTGGCTGTGTGACCGGGTGGCTGACCCCTGATGTCCTCCTCTCCTTGTTTTCTTGTGCCTCATTCTCCTTCTATTTATCCTCTCTGCCTGCTAGACCTTCCTGTTCTTGCTTCTGCCTCACTATTGGCCGTTCAGCTCTTTATTAGACCATCAGGTGTTTTAGTCAGGCCAAGAATCACAGCTTCACAGAGTCAAACAAATGCAGCATAAACAAGTCACACACCTGAAAATAATGTTCCCCAGCACCCACGGACTTGCCCACAGTCTGATGGCAGATTTTCTCAGTTGAGGTCTCCCTTCCCAGGTGCTTTCACTCTATTTTGTATCAAGTGGGCCAAACTAAACAGTACACTCCCAGGTAGCATCTTCTCACCTAGAAACCAGGCCAAATCCAAGCTCTTACTTCTGGACCACAGCCTTGGGAGACACTTCATAAAAGACACCGAATAGCACTGGCTGTCAAGGCCATGTAAATGAAAACCGCAATAAAATAGTCTCCATTTCGTGCTGATTACAATTCAAAACAAACCAACACCTGGCAATGGCAAATGTCCGTAAGAAAGTGGAGCAACTAGAACTTGCCTACACTGCTTTTGGGGTGTGTGGAAATGATCCAGTCTCTTTGGGAAACTGCCATTGTCTTATAAAATTAAGTATGGACCCACCTGTTACCCGTCTCTCAGGAAAATGAGGACCCATGTCCGCAGGGAGATGAAAAGATAATTGTGGCATTCTGAATACAGAATGATGAGAAAATCAAGGCACCCAAACATCTGCGAACACTAACAAGACTGAACCTGAATACAACTCCATAGGAAAAACCAGAATGGTTTGCTTTGTGAGCAAAATGGTGTGGGGGCAAAGACGGGCGCAAAACCATAACAGACACTCAGACAAAATTAGACAATGTGAAAGAAACCGGAATGGCAGCTGCCTATGGCGGCAATGGCTGAGCGACAAGCAGAGGCTGTCCTTGGGAACTGCGGATGACGTGCAGAGCTTTGAGGCAGTGGTTAGTCAAGTGGATTCTTTACTCAACATCCACTCGGGTGCACTCGCAGGATCTATGTGTTCCCCGGCCTGTGGCTTTCACTTCAGAACTCTTCCACCCCATCCTCAGTTTCTCCCCACCCCTGCCTTTTTTTCTCACCTCTCACTCTGAC